AGGATTATACCTCTCGAGCTTCCTGACTCCTGGGAAGCCACCCAGGCATTTTTTTCAACATCACAACCCAGGGAAGGGATGAAAGGAAGGCCCTGTCTCCCACTCTGATGGCCCCAGGCCAAGTCAGTTGAACTGCTAGCTTGGAGTCGTTCTCAGTGTCCTGGTTGGCGATGAGCAGAAACCACCCTGCCAGCATCTCCAAATGCTAGAAGCAAGGAAGTATTTAATAGTCACGCTGTTCTCGGGATGTGGAGGAGGCTGGTGCTGGGGAGCCCGTTTCCCGGAATGCCATACAGGTACCCAGTTCTCCATTGCTCTGTGCAATTCCCTGTGAGGAATCCATTATTTGGTCTTCCAGCTGTTGAGGGATGAAACCTGGCTGCCTTGGCGTCATCTCTCTCCTCCTCTCGCTCTCTCCAAGTCTGATGTCAGAGCTGATTAAAGGTGGTGAAGCCCAATCATTGCCTCGAGGTTGGTGACAGTGAGGGGAGCTCCTGGCCAGGGCCAGGCAGCAGCTGACATGCTCTGTAGTGATGGGCTGAGGAAGCTGTTGTCCAGAAGCTGAAGCTAAGCAGACGGCTTGGCAGAGTGACAGACAGGAGAGTGGCCTTGGGGCTGAACTGATATCCTAATGTCTGTTTAAAGTGAGACGTCCACCAACAGTCTAGAGACCAAGTCTGCTGTCTGCATGGTGATCTCAGGAGCCTTTCTTTAGATGCCCCAAACCCATGGGGTTTTCCTGATCCCCCCCCTTAAAGTTAACTTACAATAAAATTCGTATTTTGAAAAGTATGTAGTTGGAGTTTTGACACAATTTGACAAATACATACAGTTGTGAACTCCCTAGTACCACTGGGATCTAGCATGTCCAGAACCAAGCTCAACACAGCGCCTCCAGTGACTCTTGTGTTACCCAGTAGACTTGCTCCATAGAAGCACATGGCCAGGCCTGTCTTCCATGGCACACCACTGGCTGAGTTTAAAATTAACAGCTTTCTGGGGCACTTGTTAGTTCATGTTGCCCTTGACTATGACTCTTAAGGATCCTGTGAACAACAGATTGGGAACTTGCTCTGCCCTATGCCGTCCTGCCGATCTCTACCGCCCTTAGGCGCATTGTTACAGTCTTGATGTTAGTCCATTTTGCTGAGGGTCTTCCTCTCTTTCACTGACCCTCCACCTTTCCCAGCAGTGTTGTTGTTTTGTGCTATTGAGTCGGAATGAACTCATAGCTGACCCTCAAGCAGGTTTCCAGAGACTGTAAATTGCATGGGAGGACATCGGCCGTGTTTTTCCCGCAGAGCGACTGGGTACTTTGAACCTCATACCTTTGGGTTGGCAGAGAAAGTCCTTATCCACTAGGTCACTTGTTGTTGTGTACCATAGAGTCGGAACTGACCCATAGCTGAACCCCCAGCAGGTTTTCAGAGGCAGTTAATCACACAGGAGAGTGCCTATCCTTCTCCCGTGGAGCAGCTGTTGGCCTCGAACCATGTTCTTTTGAGATTGCAGTACAGTTTCTTGCCATTTGGCCATCAGAGCTCCCTACTAGGCTACTAGAACTTCCTAATATTCAAATTAGGTACTTAAAATTAGATAGGATTTTTGTAAAAGACATTAATTATATAAAAGTTGTGTGGGTGGTGTGTGTGTGTTTTTTTTTTGTTTTGTTTTTTTATTGATTCCAATTGTCATTGGCATTCCAACCATTGGTAGGAAAAAATAAACCTTTTGGCTACCAGCAGCGGAGACACTGACTGGCCACTTAGAGTCAGGACAATGCATTCATTTTGGGAAAGATACTCTTTCAGAATGGAAGATTTCTTTAGATTTTTTTTTTATTATAGGGAAAATTAGCTGTTTTCTTTGCTATTACCTTGACTTATGACTTAAATACTTGCCTTTCTTCTTCTTTATCAGCTTGTTGTATTGTTCCTTTGTTTTTTCTTGCTCTTCGTATCTCTTTTTTCTTTCCCCTCTTCTTCATAATCTGATTCTGAGAAAGACTCAGATGATAAAGGTTTATCTTTATGATCAGCTGTCTTTTGTTTTTGCTGATGCACTTCTCTTTCTTGATTTCATCTTTTGGTTTCCTTTTATAAGGCTTCCCAACCATAGTCCAGTGCAAACTCTGTGCACCACCCAGGGACACACAGTTGCTTCACCTCGGTCAGATTGTACTGTGTGTCTTTGTGTTCAACCCCTCCTGCCCCTTACTCCTGGAACTCGCTGTTCTGTCTTCTGCTGCTATAGCTTTGCTTTTTCTAGAATGTCATATGAGTGAGATTATATAGTTAGCAGCACCTTTTAAGTCTAGCATCTTTCACTCAGCTTAACACATGAGAGATTCACCCATGTTGTATATATCAGTTATTTGTTCCTTCTTATTGAGGAATTTCAGTTGAGTGGATGTTTACCTAGCCATTCTCCATTTGAAGGATATTCCTGTTGTTTCCAGTTTTGGTGGTCAGGAGTAAAGCAACTATAAATCTACACATACCAGTTTTTGTGTGAATGAATGCTTTTATTTCTGTTAGGTACATACCTGGGAGTAGGACTGCTATGTCATATAATAGAGTTATATTTAACTTTGTAAGAACCTGCTGAACTATTTTCCAAACTGGTTGTACCATGCTACATTTTCACTAACAGCATGAGAGTTTCCGTTCCTCCATATCCCCAACACTTAGTAGAGTTAGTCTTTTTAATGTTGACTGTTGCAATAAGTGTGTAGTTATATCTCACTGTGGTCTTAGTTTATGTTTCCATTATGACACAGTGACTACAACAATGGGCTTGGGCGTGATGGAGGTCTAGATGATTGTGGTGGATAGGACAAGGCTCAGATCTGTTGTGCATGGGATACTGTGCACCATAGTCAGCCCGGTGGCACCTGACAATGACAGTGACTAACAATGTCAAAGATCTTTTCCCATGCTTATTTGCCATATACATGTTTCCTTATGAAATGTCTTCAAATAGTTTGTCCATTTTAAAAATTTGAGTTTTGTTAGTTAGATTTTTTTCGTTTTTAGAGTTATTAATATGTTGTTGTTGTTGTTATGTGCCGTCGAGTCGTTTCCGACTCATAGCGACCCTATGCACAACAGCCCTAAACCCTGCTCTGTCCTGCGCCAAACGCACCGCCTCTGACACACCCATCCCGATTACCCCAGTCACCGAATCAATCCATCTCATAGAGGGTCTTCCCCTCCTGCATTGTCCCTCCACCCTCCCAAGCATGATGTCCCTCTCCAAGGACCCGTCCCTCCTGGCAACATGTCCAAAGTATGTCAGACGAAGCCCCAGAATCCTTGCTTCCAAGGAGTAGCTTGGTTTAATCCTCTCCAAGATAAATCTGTTTGTTTTCCTGGCAGTCCAGGGCACATTCAGTACCCTTCTCCAGCACCATAGCTCAAAAGCATCCACTCTCCTTCTGTCCTCCCTAGTCATTGTCCAACTCTCTGATGCATAACAAGCGATTGCAAATACCATGGCCTGTATCAGGTGCACCTTAGTCTCCAGAGAGACACTGTTGCTCCTGAGTACTTTAGAGAGGTCCCTAACAGCAGACTTTCCCATCGCAATACGCTTTTTGATTTCCTGACTGCTGGTGCCAAGAGTGTTGACTGTGGAGCCGAGCAAACTGAAGCTGTGAACAATCTCAATCTCTTCGCCATCCATCCTGACGCTGCCAATTGGTGGTGAGAATCTTTGTCTTCTTGACATTGAGCCTCAGTCCATACTGAAGGCTACAGTCCTTGACCCTTCGCAGCAAGTGCATGAGGTCCTCCTCAGTTTCGGCAAGCAGGGTTGTGTCATTTGCATAACGGAGATTGTTAATAGACCTTCCACCAATCCTGATGCCACAGTTTTCCTTATAGAGCCCAGCCTCTCGGATAATCTGCTCTGCATACATGTTGAAAGGGTATGGAGACAGGATGCATCCCTGGCGTATACCCTTCCCAATTTTGAACCATGCAGTGTTACCCTGCTCTGTTCTGACGACTGCCTCTTGGTCCAAGTATAGGTTTCGTATTAGCACAATTAAATCTTCTGGGATTCCCATTCTTCTCAGAGTCAGCCACAGTTTGTTATGATCCACACAGTCAAATGCCTTTGCATAATCAATGAAACACAGATAGACATTCTTCTGGTATTCTCTGCTTTCAGCCAAGATCCATCTAACATCAGCAACAATATCCCTAGTACCACGACCCCTTCTAAACCCAGCCTGGACTTCCGGCAGTTCTCTGCTGATGTGCTGCTCTGGATATAAGTTCCCATCTGTAATTAGCATATAATGATCATATAAATCTTATAGAGTTTGAGGTAAAGATTAGATGAATTTTAATATAAGTTTAAGCCATAAGATTTTGCTTATATTTGACCATTTTTTACTTGTACAAAGGGCAATTTCGCAAAGTTCAACCTGATACGAAAAATATTTTTTGTAGTGATTGGTAGAAAGCATGCACTCTGGAGATAGTTTTTGTATACTGCCATTGCCATCAGTGCTGCTGTCGCTACTAAACTATTCTTAGGTTGAAGACAGTGTCTCTTGCTACTGCTATTTCATGCTCCCTGAGTCCTCTGCTCAGGAAGCCAGCAGCCACCAAACTTGTCCCATGTTCCAGTCTTCTTGCTAAATCTGCAAAGGTTAATAAGATCCAGCCTTTACTCCTGTGGAACAAAAGTGCCACCTTCTATAATTGGCCCATGTCAAAGCACAGTGGAGGAACCTTGGTGGGAAGGAAGGGATTGGCAGAACTTCCCGAATAAGGTGAGCCTGGCAGGATGATTAGGAGTTTGGGATGGGAGGACAAGCTAGGCACAAGTTAGAACTTATGCAAAGGCTTGAGAGAGCGAACGAGACTCCAAGGCCTGCCTGGTGATGGGAAGCAGCACCTGGTGTCCTTGAAAGTGGTCACCAGTAACCCCTACTTTGTCTTTTTTTGTAGGTGAAGTAACGTTTTGCACACCTGTCATCTGCCTCTACCATGGCCACTAGAACCATTGTCATCGACCACGGGTCTGGCTTTCTAAAGGCTGGCTTGTCTGGTTGTAATGAGCCCCAGATGGTTTTCCCGAGTATCGTGAATTACATCCCATGCCGGGAGAACCCTGGCCCCAGCTACGCCCAGAGACGCGTGAGTCTGGGTATCGACTTTGGCCGTCCTGACACCTACAGCTACCCTATCCAACGTGGCCGTGTGCTCAACTGGGAGGGCGTGGAGCACATCTGGTCGTTTGTCCTGGAGAAACACAGGCAAGAGAACAAGGACTTCCCAGTGCTGATCACAGAGAGCCCTTTGAAGGATCCTGGGGAACGGAAGAAGACCTTGGAGGTAAGTCACTGAGTCACTGCAGGTGCCCTCACTGGGACTGGGTAGGAGGTGGATTCAAGTGCAGTGTGTCTGAACATGACTGAGCATCGGGAACTCTGCTTCTTAAATGTTGATTCAGACCCAACAACATTCACTAGGTACCTGGTGGTGGTGTACTGCTAACCAAAAAGGCCATGTGGCTTTGGTGGTTGGCCTCCAGCTTCTCTGTGGCAGAAAGATGGCCAGTCTTCTCCCATGAAGGTCAGCAGTCTGGGAAATCCAGTGGATGTTTGCTGTGAGACAGAATCAAGTCGCTGGCAGTGAGTTTGAGTGTGTGCCAGGTCCTCTGAGTGGTGCTGGTGGTGTGTGGTCTACACCTACCTTAAAAGTTGATAGTTTAAACCCACTGACAACCACAGAAGAAAGAACTGGCAATCGGCTTCTACAAAGATTACAGTCTAGGAAACCCTATGAAGTAGTTCATTGTTAACGTGTAGAGTTACTATGACTTGGAATCAACTCAGTGGCAGCCAGCTTGGTTTTGATTTTGTTTGAGTGGGTTTTGTGTGTGTCTGTGTATGTACATATGCACATGCCCAGATCCAGTGCTAGGTGAAGGGGGTCATAGAAGCTCTTCCTGTCAATGGAGGTGCAGCAGTGGATTACTCTGGGAAGGGTGCAGAAAAGTAGATGCCAGCTATTATTTGGTCATGGATGATATACATATTCAAAGATGATGCTGCGGCCCTCACAAAACTTACGTCTGGGAAAGATGCAGACCGTGAATACGCCAACAGAAAGGAATGTCAGATAGTGGTCAGTAATCATAGAAACAATAATATGGAGTGATAGAGCTGGCTAGTGGGGAGAGGAGGAACCCCTTGAGAAATGGACAAGGAGGGTTTCTCTGAGAAGACAAGCCACTGAGGCCAGAACTCCGCAGTGAGGGGTAGGAGTAGGAGGAGACGGATGGGATGGTGTGATTGGCAGAGGCTAGACTGTGCAGGGCTGGTGATGTGGGGGAACATTTGCATTTTACACTAAGCACTGTGGCCCAAATGACCCAAATGTGGCCCACCCCCTGTTTTGTAAAGAAGGTTTTATTGGAATACAGCCATGCCCATCATTTACAGATTGCCATGATGACTCTCACAGCAGCAGAGTTGAGTAATTGCAACAGAGACCGTATGTGCTGTGAAGCCTAAGAAATTTACAGTCATCTCATAAAACTCAGCCATAGGTTTGCTAAATAACGTACAGAATGCCTAGTTAGATTTAAATTTCAGATTAACAGCACCTCATATTTCAGTATTACTATATACCAAATATTGTGTTTTCTGTTGTTCAGTGCCATCGAGTCAGCTCCGACTTACAGCGACCCTCTGGCCCACAAGGCCAGAGTGCTGCCTGATCCTGAACACTCTCACACGTGCTAGTGTGCTTGAGGGCAGTGTTGCAGCAGCAGGACAAACTTCCTGAAAAAAAAAAGTATTTGCTGTTTATCTGAAATGCAGATTTGACCGGACATCCTGTATTTTATTTGCTAAATCTGGCAGTGCTATCTTATCTGACACTTCCCAGAGAGTTTGCTGAGCCTGGCTCTCAGAGAATGGAGGCTCCCATGGAGTTTCAAGAGGGAGAGTGATATCTGCTTTGCAATTTTAAAAAGATGACCTTGGCAGTATTTGGAGAGTGGAAATGGAGGAGAGCTGCATCCCAGTGAGGGCACAAAATAGTTCTGCTTGGATTTGAAGTGGCCAGGGCCACAGAATGGTTGACAGAGATTTCCTGTACCTGTATATTCAGAGGCGGGAAACTGGAGGCTCTGTAGAGAGCCATAGGGTCCCTGGGTTGTGCAGAAAGTTTCCACTCAACTACTAACCTAAGAGGTGTGGTGATTCATATCCAGTCAGTTGTGCTATGGACGGAAGGTCTGGCAGCTTCCACCAGTTTTCAAAATCAAGTCAAAAGTCAAAGTCATTATTATGGAGTTGAGACTGACTAATAGCCAAGCCTCCAGCAGATTTTCACGGGCTGTAAGCCTCCTCATATACTTCAGGCATGTTGCTAGAAGGGACTGTTCCTTGGAGAGTGACATGAGGCTCAGAAAGGTAGGAGTCGGCAAAGAAGAGGAAGACCCTCAATCAGGTAGTTTGACACTGTGATTGCTGCACAGGGCTCTAGTGTGTCAGGAAGTGTGTGCATGGCATAGAGGAGAGGTTCAGATCTGCCGTTCAGAGGGTGACGATGGTTCATACTCCACTTGATGGCACCTGACAACAACAAATTGTATAGGAAAAGATAGCACAACATTCTCCCATGGAGCAGTTGGTGGATTTAAACTACTTGTCTCTAGCTTGGCCATATAGCTTCTTACCTACTAGTCTACCAGTATTCTCTGCAAATTTAATAGCTGAAAAGAGATTATGAAGCAATATTCCTCTATAACACATGGGTCAGCATGGGTTGGAATTAACTAAGTAGAAACAAATAAAGTACTGGGCGATGACAAACAGATGATGGATAGATTAAAAGGATCCTACATAGGTTTGGCAAATGACATTTCTTCATTATATCCTGTATATGCTGTAGGGCTCTTGTACAGAGGGTCACTATGAGTCGCGAGCGACTCGATGGCACATAACAACAACAAAACAACATATAAGTCAAAAGGAGCCAATGCTTTTGGGTTTTTTGGGGGGTTTTGTTTTGAGCCAATGCTTTTGTAAGCTTCCTAATATCAAGGACAATTTATAAACATCAAAGACAATTGGCAGGGGAGCTCTGGTGGCCTAGTGGTAAGAAGCTGCACTGCAATCCTGAAGGCACCCCCATCATGTGCTCCACTGAAGAAGGAGGGGCAATCTCCTGCTGTACCAGTCAGATCTGAGTCGATGGTACACAACAAGCAAAAAAAAAAAAAAAGAGAGAGAGAGAGAAAATTAGCACAGCATTGTCCTCAAAGACAAAGCAGTGTTTTACATCCTATTTTACTGAGTAGCAACTTAAGTCTTAAAAGCTTTCAAGCAGCCATCAAAGAAAGGTGCAGCCACTGTTCTCTTCCCATCTGGAACAAAGAAAAGGTACAGTGAAACATTTAGCCAAGAGGGCTAATGGACCACTTAAACCTCAACTTCTACAACCCTGAGACCAGAAGAACTAGATGATGCTCCACTGGGACTGCTGACCATTCAAAGAGATTGAAGTAGAAGATCCTGGATAGGAGGGTGTGGAACAAAAGTACGAAAATGTCAGCTTATTGGTCTGATAGAGACTGGTGGAGCATCCAAGACTATAGCTATTTAAAAAAACAGAACAAAGAAACTCAACTCAAAATGCATTGCTGCAGAATCAAAACTGACTCATAGCAGATCCTCCATTGGGTTTCCAAGGCTGTAGATGACGTGGGATTGTCTTTCTCCCTCAGCTGCTGGTGGAGTTGAACCACTAGAGAGGCTGCTAGCCTTTGAGCTAGCAGCACAAGGGGGTGGACTCTGTCACCCTTTAAACCTGGAACAAAACATCTCTGTGACTCAGCTTTCAGCCACCCAGTTAACAGACCTCTGCAGTGAACAGTGGCACCAAAAAGGCACTAACTCTGTGTAATGCCCAACTGTCTAAGGTCGGGAGAACATTTTCTCAAGGAAAAAGCCCTGAAGGTGCTCAGATAGAAAGATGAATGGAGATGAGAATTATGGGGAGGAAGTATATTGTTGTTGTGTGCTGTCAAAGCAGAACCCACCCATAGCTGACCACCCATCGGGTTTTCAAAGGCACTAATTTGCATGGGAAGAGATTGCCCAGCCGCCTCCTGCAGAAGAATTGAGCTGCATGTGGGTATTGTAATTGTTGTTATAAAAGAAAATGTGCATGAATGATTGAGTGCAAAAACCCAGTAAGCCTTGTAAACATTCACTCAGGTCATAATGAAACAAACAAAAAGAAAACAGTCTAAGGGATTGGGGGTGGGGGAAGCAGGGTGGCGGCTAAGGAGGAAGTCAGCCCAGGGCTTAGCCAGATTCTCAATGTTGAAGTTGTACTTTGGCCTTGAAATTTGGAAAAATTATTGTTCAAATAAAGAAAAACCCCAAGTGAGCAGATGTTTTCTCCTAGCAGGAAGGGCGTGTTCTTTCTTGTTGGGGTTGTTACGTGCCATCACGGGGCTCTGATTCATAACGGCTCAACCCTGTGACATCCTCACGCTTACTTTTGTCACGGTCACTGTGTCAGTCTGTGCTTTTGAGGTTCTTCACTGACCTCCTAACAGAACCAAACCTGATGTCCTTTCCCAGAGCCTGGCTCTTCAGTAAACGTGTCCAGAGTCTGTGAGACCAAGTCTTTTTACCTTTCATTTTTACCTCTGGCGATCTGGAACTCTTGTGGCCTAATGGCGAGAAGCTGTGCTGCAATCCTGAAGGCACGCGCAGTTCAAGGCCACCAGCTGCTCCTCAGGAGAAGGTTGGGTATTCTCCTCCCATACGATTATAACTGCCACTGGAAACGCACCAGAGGGTCAGCTGTGGGTTGGTTCCAACTCTAGGGTGCACAACAACCGCAGCTAGTGGTCTAGTAGGTAAGAAGTTGTACTGCCAGCCCCAAAGGTAGGTGGTTCAAACCCATCAGCTGCTCCGAGGAAGAAAGATATGCATTCCTCACGTACTTTGTAACTTCTAAAAATCTGCCTTTGGGTCAGGTCCACGCTGGTCCTGACTTGAAGGCTTATAACAGCAACATACAGAAAGGAGCTCTTGGTGGCCTAGTCCGTAGACCTGCACTGCTAGCCAAAGTCTCTACCAGCGGCTCCTCGGCCTCCTAGCGTGGGGGAGGCAATGTGTGCTGTCGTTCATTGTGAGAGCTGCACATAACCTTAGGGGCTTAGAGAAACAAGTGGATCTGAAAGCTGTGTTCAGGGGAAATGCACTGAGCCTGTGTCCCTTCTTGCAGATAATGTTTGAGTTGCTGGATGTGCCCTCCGTCCTCCTGGCCGACCAGCTGGAGATGTCGCTGTACGCCTCCGGCCTCCTGACTGGTATTGTGATCGATTCCGGCTATGGCCTGACCCGAGTGAAGCCTTTCTACCTCGGCCGCGCGCTGTCCTCGAGCTGCACAATGCTGGAGTTTGCAGGCCAGGATCTCTCTGCTTACCTCTTCAAGAGCCTCTTTAAAGAAGATTGCAACCAGCACAACCTGTTCCAGGTGGAGACGGTCGCCATGACCCAAATGAGCAAATGCTACGTGCCCCAGAATTTGGCGGAGGTGCTGGACTTTCCCCAGAGCCTGCCCAGCAGCTCTGAGGAGAGTAACACCTACCGTCTCCCCGATGGCACCCTGGTGGAGCTGACCCCCATGCAGCGGCTTGCCCCTGAGATGTTCTTCAGTCCCCAGGTATTTGGCCTGCCGGGGCCCGGCATCTCCCAGGCCTTCATGGAGGCCCTGGAGATGTGTGATGCCTCAATGCATTCATTGCTCAAGTCCCATGTGATAGCGTGTGGGGGGAACACCCTGTATCCCGGCTTCACCAAGCGCTTGTACAAGGAGCTAACAACCGATTCCTTCTCCACTAGGCTCTGGGTGGGCACCAATCGCAACTTCAGCGTCTGGCTAGGGGCCTCCATGCTGGCTCACCTCTCCAGTTACAAGTCTGAGTGGATAACCAGAGAGGATTATGATGAGGTGCGCAGGCTGTAACCTCTGACAAGGACAGTTAGCAGGTGTGGGAATGCGGAAGTTAGAAAGTTTTAGATGATCGCCTTTTTATTTTGTTTCTACTGTGCTACCCAGCCCATCAGAGTTGGTTGGTGTCATCCCTGAAGATCCTAGAGGAGTCAGTTTTCCAGGATGACCTGTCATTGGTGTAGCCCGTCACTGGGCAGACATGGCCATCTGCCGGCTCCATACCCCTCAGCCACATCTTTCCCACCTGCTTTTCCATTGGGTTCCCCTGTTCTTTGTTGAATAAATTTTAACGGGGACTTTTTGCCTAGGACTCCCAGTTATTTTTTTACTAGAGAATGAAGTTCAGCTTTTCAGTCCTGTAAGTCTTTTCTGGCCAGGGAAGAGTTGCCACAGCTGAATCTGGAGAGCCTTTCCAGCCCATGTCAGGGACTTTGTTTTATCTATGCAAATAAATAAGTTGTTTGAAACCAATGAGGACTCCTGTGATGGATGCGGGAGGCAAGGGGAGGGCCCTTATCACAAATCCAGGAAGTATGAGCCGGAGAGAAAGAGGAGAGAGAGAGAGGAGAGAGAGAGAAAGAGTGTGTGTGAGGTGTCAGAACTGAAGAACTTGGGTCCTTCTGAGCTGTGATTTCCACCAGGCAGAATGGTTAAGGGCCTTGAGCCTCTTGTTCTTCCACTGCTGTGTTCTCTGCATTCATTTAAGCATCATTAAGTCAACACTTGACTCAGGTGACTCCACGTATGTTGGAGTAGAACTGTGCTCCATGGATTGTTCTCGTTTTCTGAATTAGGTCACCAGACCTTTATTCTGCAGTACTCCAGGTGGATTTGAGCTGCCAGCCATTTGTTTAGCAGCCAAGTAATGAGCTGTTCTGTTCAGCCATTGAGATTTTGGGGCTGGTTGTCATAGCATCTGTTTTCCCTGTTCTGATTACAAAAGGGTCTTAACTTCCTATTTTGCAAACGTTTCCGTTTGCACACCGTGCCCCCCCCCCCATAAGTGACAGAATGAGGGTCTGAACTCAGTATGGGTTCTCAAGCACTGTGGTATGGCTGCTTCCCATCATCTTGTAAAAGAGGCTCATGACTCCAATATGAAGAATTGGAACAGCGACACATGTGCAGTGAGCTGAGGTCTGAAATCTAAGGAACTCTGATTTCAGGGGCAAGTGGAAGAACTTGGAAACCAGAGTTCAGCTCACTTTGTCGGACCACATGGGTCATTTCCACTCAGCTACACCTTTATCCCCAAATGTGAGCCGGCATTTGTCACCAAGAGAAGAAGCAGGTCTAGAATGGTGATTGTTCAGTGGAGCGGCTTTCAACCAGCCCAGTAGTCGCAGGAATATGGAGTCAGACTTGAATTTAGCTGAGCTGTTGTGAGTATGTTATTAAATGCATCAGGTGCAAAACTGGAATACTGTTCTTCCTTTCAGTAACTTGGGGTTAAGGATGACTGAGATGTCACATTGAAAACTAGAAACTACTGTTGCAATAAAGGTATGAATTTAAGACTTTATGATTTGATGTTGTTATCATCCTGGTCAAGAGTTTTAATAATAACAGCAGCTGCCATTGCTTATCCAGGCCTTATCAGAAGTGTTTTAACCACGGAGTCACATGCCACATCTAATCCTTATAAGCACACTGAAAAAATGAGTGAGAATCTGTCCCAGTTTACAAATAAGAAAACTCAAATACAAGTTCTCACCCAAGCAAATAATGGACTGTCCCAGATAAGAATGGATTTGACATTCCCAGAAAACCAGACTGCTGTTTTTTTATCAAATCAAGTATGATTTAAGTTGACCCCATGGACAACAACTCTGAACCCTGTCCTCTCTTTCCATCCTCGTTATCTCTGACATACTTGAACCCATTGCTGCAGTCACTGTGTCAGTACTTCTCATTGAGGAGCTTCCTCTCTTTAGATGAGCATCTACCTTTCCAAGCATGATAGCACTTTTCCGAGGAAGGATTGATGCCTTTGAGTTGTGGTGCTGGAGAGGAGTCTTGAACATAGTGTGGACTGCCAAGAAAACAAATCAGTCTGTCTTAGAGAGGATGAAGCCAAGTCTTTCCTTGGAGGCTAGGATTTTGAAGCTGTCTCATATACTTTGGGCACCTGGTCAGGAGGGACTGGTCCTTGGAAAAGGACATCATGCTCAGAATGGTGTAGAGACAGCGCAGGAGAGAGACCTCGGATGAGATGGATTGACACAATAACAGGTTATAGAGGTAGGTCTATCAGAGATAGTGAGACTGGTTCAGGATAGGCAGGGTCCAGAGCTGTTGTACATAGGGTCACTTGGTGGCACATTATAACACCAAAAATACATGAGACAGTTTCTCCATCCTCTCCTCTAAAGAGTGTTCTAGCTGTGTTTTTCTCAAGACTTATCTGTCATGGTTTTCTTTGGTGGTTTTTGTTTGTTTATTTTAAGTCCATGGGATATTTAGAGAGAGCTCTAATGGCCTAGTGGTAATAAACTCCACTGTAATCCCAAAGGCATGTCATTCGAATCCACCAGCTATTCTGAGAGAAGGATGAACAGTCTCCTCCCATGGAACTTGGTGTTTCTGAAAACCCACTGGAGGGTCAGCTGTGGGTCAGTTCTGACTTCATGGTACAACAACAACAACAACAACAACAATATGGAATATTCAGTGCCCTTACCCAGCACCACAACTCAAAGACAGCAATTCTCCTATAATCCTTCTTTATTGTCCAGCTCTCAGATGCATAGCAAGTGATTGAAAAGATCATGGCCTCCATCAGGTGCACGTCAGTCTTCAAACTGACATCATTGCTTCTCAGTAATTTGGAGAGGTCCCTAACAACAGATTTGCCTGATGCAAGGCATCACCTGCTGGTACAAAGGGTGCTGATTGTAAGGGTGTTGATACAAGTAAATAAAATCATTGACAATTCCAGTCTTTTCTCTCTTACTATGATGTTGCCTGTAAGTCCAGTGGTGAGAATTTTTACCTTCTTGATGTTAAAATGCAATCCGTAGTGAAGGTTATAGTCTTTGCTCCTCTGCAGTAAGTGTTTCAAGTCATTTTCACTTTCAGCAAGTCGTGTCATCTACATAACACAGGTTGTTGATGAGTCTTCTTCAAATCCTGATGCCACATTCTTCATAGAGTCCAGCTTCTTGAATGATTTATTCAGTGTACAAATTTAATAGATATGGAGAAAGGATATACCCTGACATACACTTTTCCTGATTTTTAAATTATACAGTGTTCTTGAAGTGATTTAAAAATCATTTCCAGAATAGATTTGAAGCATTGAGCACTAATGATTGAAGACAGAATGAGTTAGGGAATTAAAGACATTATCTATGAAAAGAGCAAAAGATCACTACAAAAGACAGAGGAGGAAGAACAAAACAGATGTCAGAAGAAACATTAGGAAGCCAAAACAAAGGGGAGAAATGTCGAAGTAAAAGCTGAATAGATGATTTCAAAAGACAGCTTGAGAAGACAAAGCAAAGTATTATAATGGAAAGTGCAAAGAGCTAGAGTTTGAAAATAAAAAGAGAAGAACTTGCTCAGCATTTCTAACATTAAAATGAGTTGTTATGTGCCATCGAGTCTCTTGCGACTCATAGCGACCCTACGACCCTACGTACAACAACCCTAAACCCTGCTCTATCCTGTGCTAATCGCACTGCCTCTGACACACCCATCCCAACTACCCCAGTCACTGAATCAGTCCGCCTCATAGAGGGCCTTCCCCTCCTGCACCGTCCCTCCACCCTCCCAAGCATGATGTCCCTCTCCAAGGACCTGTCACTCCTTACAACATGTCCAAAGTATGTCAGACAAAGCCCTAGAATCCTTGCCTTCAAGGATCCTGGTTTAACACTCTCTAGGATGAATCTGTTTTCATAGCAGTCCATGGTACCCTCAATACTCTTCTCCAGCACCACAGCTCAAAGGCATCAATTATTCTTCTCCCTAGTCACTGTCCAACTATTTGATGCATAACAAGTAATTGCAAAGACCATGGACTGTATCAGACGCACCTTAGTCGCCAGAGACACACTGTTGCTCTTGAGTACTTTAGAGAGGTCCCTAACAGACTTTACCATCGCAATGCGTTTTTTTATTTCCTGGCTACTGATGATGAGAGTGTTGACTGTGGAGCCGAGCAAACTGAGCTGTGAACAATCTCAATCTCTTCGCCATCCATCCTGATGCTGCCAGTTGGTCCAGTGGTGAGAATCTTTGTCTTCTTGACATTGAGCTTCAATCCATACTGAAGGCTGCAGTCCTTGACCCTTTACAGCAGGTGCTTCAAGTCCTCCTCAATTTCAGCAAGCAGGGTTGTGTCATCTGCATAACACAGATTGTTAATAGATCTTCCGCCAATCCTGATGCCACACTTCTCCTCATAGAGCCCAGCCTCCCGGGTAATCTGCTCTACATACAGGTTGAAAAAGTATGGAGATAGGACACATCCCTGGTGTACGCCTTTCCCAATTTTGAACCATGCAGTGTTACCCTGCTCTGTTCTGGTGACTGCCTCTTG